TAATAATAATGAAAACAACAACAACGACAACAGTGATAATGATAATAATAATAATAATAATGATAATAATAATGATGATAACAACAACAACAACAACAACAACAACAACAACAACAACAACAACGACAACAGTAATAATGATGGTAATAATCAATGACAATAATAATAATAACAATCAAAACAATGAGGCGTGGGCTGAAGCGTGGGTGGAGGCCGAGGCGTGGCGGTGGGCGGAGGCGTTGGCGGAGGTGGAGGATTTGGGGTGAGCGGAGGTGGGGTCGTGTGGATGGGCGTGGGCGTGGGCGGATGTGGAGGCGTGGGTGGAGGTGGAGGCGTGGGCGGAGGTGGAGGCGTAGGCGGAGGCGTGGGCGGAGGTGGAGGCGTGGGCGAAGGTGTGGGCGGAGGTAGAGGCGTGGGCGGAGGTGGAGGCGTGGGCGGAGATGGAGGCGTGGGTGGCAAAAGCGTAGTGGTGAGTGGAAGCGTTGGCGGAGATAGAGTCGTGTGGATGGGCGTGGGCGGGGACGGGGGCGTGGGCGGGGACGGAGGCGTGGGCGGGGACGGAGGCGTGGGCGGGGACAGGGGCGTGGGCGGGGACGGGGACGTGGGCGGGGACGGGGGCGTGGGCGGAGGCAGTGAAGGCAGAGTCGTGGGCGTGATGGATGGGCGAAAGCAGAAGGAGCGGTCTTTATGTCTGGTCTCCATGACGCGGATCAAACACAAGGTCGGTCATTTTAGCCTCACTTCCTGGAGATGTTAATGATGGGGAGAAGAAGAGAAAGGAAGGAGGAAGAGGAAGAAGAGGAGGGGGAAGAAGAAGAAGGAGGAAGAGAGGAGGAGGAAAAGGAGGAGGAGGAGGAGGAGAAGGAGGAAGATGAGGAAGAGGAAAAAGAAGGAGAGGAGGAGGAGGAAGAAGAAGAGAAAGAGTAAGAGGGGGAAGAAGAAAAAGGAGAGAAAGAGGAGGAGGAGGAGAAAGACGGGGAGGAGGAGGAAGAGGAAGAGGGAGAAGAAGAAGAAGAGGCGGAGGAGGAGGAATAGGAAGAGGAGGAGGGGGAAGAAGAAGAAGGAGAGGAAGAAGAGGAAAAAGAGGGAAGAAGGGGGAAGAGAAAAAGGAGGAGGGGAATAATAATAATAAGAGGAGGAGGAGGAGGAAGACGAAGAAGAAGAAGAGGAGGAAGAAGTAGAGGAGGAGGAGGAGGAGGAAGGAAAAGATGATGATTAAGAGGAGGAGAAGGAGGAAGGACAGAATAGAAGGAAGAAGAGGAGGAGGAAGCAGAGGAAGAAGATGAGAAGGAGGGAGTAGAAGAAGAAAGAAAAAAGGAAGAACAAGCAGAAGAAGAAGAAAAAAAAAAAAGCATAAAAAAACAAGGGTAAAATATAAAATGCATATATATGTATACATTGTGACGGGGACAAGACGGAGATGATAAATTTCGGGGCAAATGAGGCATAAACGAGGAAGGTCTGAGAGAACACAAGTTCTTGGGCAGTCGCTAATGTGTTTTCAGGAAGACTCAAGACATGGGGGGCGGGGGCGGGGGGGGGGGGGAGCGGGAATGAAGACACCTCCAGTTCACGACTACAGTGTCGTTTGAGGTAATGCCCAAAGTTTGGGACTTACGAGAGGAGGAATGAATATTGTGAGTTCTTCTGCTTGTCTTCCTCTTCCTCTTCGTTAATCTTTCTCTTTGTCTCTTCCTTGATTTTTTTTTTTATCCATTCTTCTCCCCTTTCTTGATTCTCTTTTGTTTCTCTTTGTATGTTTTCTCTTTCTTTTTATCTATCTGTCTCCATCTCTCTCTCGCTCTCTCTCTTCTCCTTTTACTCCTCTTAATCATCCTCCCCCTTTTCCTCACCCCTCTTCTCCCTCTCCCCTCCTCCTCCTTTTCCTCCTCCCACTCTCCATCCTCTCCCTTCTCCTCCTCCTCCTCTTCTTCTTCCTCCTCTTCTTCCTCCCCCTCATTCTCCTCCTCGTTCTTCTTCATTTCCTCCTCTCCCTCCTCCTGCTCTCACTCCGCCTCCTTCTCCTCCTCCTCTTCTCCTCCTCCCCCTTCCTCCCCCCATCCACCCCGTCTTTTCCCTCCATCCTTTTCCATGTCAACTTTCCTTTCACTTTATTTATCTTCTTGTCCTCGATCTTTCCTCCATTTCACGCCTCCAACCTACACAGATCCCACAACCCCCACCACAACCTCCCCCACCACAACTCCCACCAACAAGCTCCCCCACCACCCCCACCGCCGTCCTCTCCACCACAACCTCCACCAACAACCCCCACCCCCGTCCTCTCCCCACCAACAACCCCCCCCCCCGTCCTCTCCTCTCCCCCGTCCTCTCCCCACCAACAACCCCCCCCCCCCCGTCCTCTCCTGTCCCCCGTCCTCTCCCCACCAACAACCCCCCCCCCCCCCGTCCTCTCCTCTCCCCCGTCCTCTCCCCACCAACAACCCCCCCCCCGTCCTCTCCTCTCCCCCGTCCTCTCCCCACCAACCCCCCCCCCGTC